GTGTGTGTGTTTATATATAAAACTTATTGTATTGTATTCCATTAAAAATGTAAAGTGATCCCAACAACATCTAGAATAAAAATAACAAGCTAAAAGCAGCAATGTAAAGATACTAAAAATGAAATGACAAAACCAAAATGCATTCCTTTGTCATTGATAACATGCATAAAAATGGTAACTGTACTTCTGAATACCAGTGAATGATCCTAAATTAAGTAGTTATACTTTTCTAAATTCCATAGTAAAGGTTCTCACAGAGGCCATAACAAACTGGAACATCCCTCTCTTCCAGCTTTTCCAACTACGATCAATATAAAACCACTAGGCTGTCTGCCATCGACAGACATCTGTCTCATCCTGCTGCCAATGAATGCTCAGCGCTAATGGAACTTTTAAAACCACTATTACTCTGTAAGCTCCTGATTGTTCTATCTAATCTGCTCCATCCTCACTTTCTTTTCATTCTCTAAGTTGATTTGACAAGTAGTGTAAAATCAAATCGGCAGATAGATGTTGTTTATGATAAGACTACCTTAGATTAATATGTTTTTTTTTTTTTTAAGAACCTGAAGTTCTCTAGCCCACAGTTCCTTAGATGTGAAAGCTACCTCTGATTTGGGACTTTGGTTCCATGACGAGGAGTTTGCTGCACCTTGAATTTTCTATTTGAATATTTTTATTGGATTTTCAGCAAAATAAATCCCCAATAAATACATACAAATCCACACACCTATTACATAGCTATAGAAACAAAGCAAAAAATAAAAAGTCTTAGTTGATTTTATGTTGAATTGACTGGGAGTCTCTCAATATGGCACAAGAATGGTTGCCATATTTTATAAAATGTGTTGGCAGAACCATGCACAACATGTCTCTGTTGTTCAACTTTGAGATTTGAGAGCAAGTCCTCAATCCATCGCTTATGGGAATGGGGTGTCTCTTTTTTCCACGATAGGAGTATGAATCGACAGGCAATCAATGTGGAAAAGGCTACAGCTGAACCTTGCCAGGTGGATACACTGCATATACGAGGAACAACCCCAAATATTGCCGAATCGAGGGTTTGGGGGAATATTAATATTCCACGACTCAGAAAAGGTCTTAAAGACAGTTCTCCAAAAGGGAGAAGGGAGCAGTTTTTGGCATTCCCAGAACATATGTCCAAGTGTCCCTTTCTCGCTTTTTGCACCTTGAATTTTCTTCTGCAGGTATTATGTTTGAGAAAGACATGAAATATTCAGATTTATTGTTGCTGAATTAGAGGGACAGTATTATGTAAAATTGACTTTTTTGAGTGTTGCATCATGTTATAATGTTGCACTCTTATCAAAAACATATTGATTCTTTCATGCATGTATGAGAAATTCTGTTATCTCCTGTGGCAATCATTAAACTATGCAAAACACCTGGGTGGACCCAGCACCGCCTTCAAGGCGCAGCTCAAGCTACTGAGCTTCCACCTCACAAAGCAACCCTTCCCCACACAGCTCCTTCAGACTAGCAATTGGCAAACAGCTGGTGGTAAGACAATGACTGAAAAATATATCACAATATTAGCATTTCATATTATGCAAAATGCAATATCAATAATTTTTGATTAAATATCTAAAATACTGTCATAGTAGTGGCATTACCTTTCCTCTTTTATCCACACTTTTCGCTCCATGATGTTTTTATTTTTAAGCAGTCATTAAGCATGATGGTGAAACCTTAAACTCCTGCTGTGCAAGTTACTCAACAGGTTGTTTCTAGGTAACCAAAGAATGAGTAAGTTACGTTGATCAGGGGTCAAGTTAATGGATTATTTTCCATATTTGTCTTTTTTTTAAACTGAAGCCTGTCATTGTGACATTTTTGACTTACATGGTGCAAACCTGCAGACATTTTCAACTTTACGTCTGGAGTATATTGTAAGGACAACTACATCAATCAATAAAAAATTCCCTTCTGAATATCATCTCTGACCTGGACACTGGATTAAATGCATCTCGCTGACTGGGATCTGACAGTGTGTGGACAGGATACTTTGGAGCGCATTTGCTTCAGTAGTGCATTCAAAACTTTGCCTGAAGTGGCGCTTTTAACAAGCCCACAATACATACAAAACAGAGAAAACTATAGATAATGCTATGTTGTATTAACAGGGTATTATAAGTGTTATAAGTATTATAAGCCAGTGTATTATGAGCCTGGTGGGCCGCCAGGCTTTACTTGCCCCCTCGCCTGGCTAAGTGTTGCTTGTTTTTATAAAGAACAAACAGACAAATAAAAAAATGCTTAAAATTTTTTTGAACATCAGTAATCCTGAACTGCAAGCGTCTGTGCCCCAAATAAAACCCATGATTGCGCTTGTAGAGATGCAGGCAGTGGAATGAGAATGATGCGTCTTTGTGAACGAAGCATTGTGTGTGACGTACGTTTGAATCTCACACACGGCCAATGCTGGGCTACATACATATACTTTAAACTTTATCAGTTTGTCACCAAACGGTTTGAAGGATGAGCATAATGTTTGTTTGTGTTTGTGTGTTTCAGATCTATCTAAGAACCGCCTGTGTGAGCTTCCAGAGGAGCTGTGTCAGTTCATCTCTCTGGAGACGCTGAGTCTGTACCACAATGGAATGCGTTTATTGTCCCCCAGCCTGGCCAACCTCCAGGCCCTTACCTACCTCAACCTCAGGTAATTCAACACCTACACACCACATCAGGAGCTACATGTTCTCCTGATGTGGTGTAGCATGTGGGTAATTAGGTGGCTCATTGTTTAGTATGTGACTGAACCTATGCCAGCAGGGTGGGCAGTTTTGGGCAGAAAATCTGTGTTTCAGTTAGTTTTTAGTGCTAATATGATATGACATGGTTGTAGTTTTTGCAATGTTGACCTGATGTGGTCTGAAACAATCATTTACTTAGAATGACACTGGGCAGTATTTACAAATGTGTTCATGCACAGTAGCACTCCTGACAGCATGAAGCTGTTCATTCAAACATGAGATCATCACAACTTATAAAAAGAGTGGAGCTATTCGCAAGGCTGGCTAATAATGAAAGATAAGGATCCAAAACAGAAAACTTGTCTTTGAGCATTTCTGACAAACTAGCAGAAAACCAGCTGATCAACAATTATAAATAAAAATTTATCCTGTTCATACTGTCATTTCATCTCAGAGTCTGATTTTAAAAGTGAAGCCAATGATATGCTTTTTAGGTAGATGCATCTCAACTGGCACCTTTTTAAAACCCTCTCCCCAAAACCAACGCTGTGCTGATAAATACACCCCATAAATATTACACATATTTTTGAATATTGTGAAATCTTACAGTATGAGAATTGCTGGCTGTTCTCAATCAAGAATATCCTCATCCTGCAGAAATGTTGAAAAAAGTTAAACTTTATTTAATGGCTCTGTCAGTTTATTTAAACTTAAAACTCCCACCCACGTCCCACGTCTGCCTTGCTTTAAGGTCTGAATGCCTAGCAGTATCTATAACATCATCTAAATAAACCAGAATTATGCTTTGCATCTGTATCTGTAAATAGCAATCTTTATGCAAATCACAAATATTAGTTTGAATATTTTGTTGTTGCTTTTTACCTTTATGTGAACATAATTTACATAAGTTGCCATTTTGTCATTCCTTAAAATCTTCTCTATAAACATCAGCTTTGACTGCTCACACTGAACAATGTTGTTATAGGTCTTTTTGTAGTTCAAGCTTGTAAATTTTGTTTTTATTGCTGAACAGTGAACTAGTCTTTATTGTAAAAGACTACTTCACAATAAGGCGTTATAGCAATAAAGAAGCCTAAAATATCTTACAAGGTTCTGGGATTTTGGCAGTTTGATTACTTTTCTAGTGTCTCTTTGCGGAGTCATTATTAGGCTATCACTAGGAAACTGAAGGAAAAAAACTGCACTAGGAATGTTTCAATTCCAGATAAATGGTCAAATTAGCCTTTCTCAACTACATGTAAAAAAAGAAAATACTTTTCAAGGCCTAAATTAATTCTTCACCTCAGTGTTTGTGATAAGTCTGTCCTCAGACCAGACAACACCATGAACAACCTTAGTCTGAGACAAACTGCTATTCTTCTATGGGAAGTGAGTGTGTTGGATTAATTAGAGCAGTACACAGAAAACGGCAAAGACAACTATATTTTTATGTAATCACACTAACTTTTTGAGAGGAAAGTTGGTGGTGGGAGGGATTTGGGTTAGAATTCACATGCTGATTACATACAGTTGATTCCCAGTGTATGCTGTTTACATGTAGCACTTAGTCTCACTCACAAGAACTGATTTCTGATAGAGCTCCATCTGGAACTTCAAGGTTTTCTCTCAGCTACAAACTGTTAAAATTTCTTTGTTGCAAACATACATTCAATTGAAGCTATGAAAACAGCTTTGCTCCAATAGTCCATCCCTTCTGTAAACTGAAGAGTTTACAAGATTGCATCTGTTTTCTTAAATCATGGAGCACTGCAACATATGCATGACAGTATTTTTACAACTCGGGGCCCAAAAAGGAGGTCTGATTTTGTCATTTACCGTAATTTTCGAACTATAAGCTGCTATTTTTTTCCCACGCTTTGAACCATGCGGCTTATAGCCCGGTGTGGGTTTTCTGTGGATTTTTCTTCAACCGCCACTGGGCTCTTTAGCAGGAAGTGAATCATTGCTTCCAATTTTATTTCCAAAATTGGAAATCAAAGAAGAAAGTGCTGATTTTCATTTAGAACAAGCACATGCTAGCAGCAGGCACGGCAGAGAAATTTCTTCAAACTCATACCCCCTCATCATGGAAACAACACAAAGAAGTTCATATGATGCAGCTTTTAAGTTGAGGGCTATCGATCTGGTAGTACAGGAGGGAAATGGAGCCGCTGCACGTAATCTCAGCGTAAAAGAATCCATGGTTTGGCATTGGAGACGGAGGGCTGCGTCCCTAATAGCAGATTTATTAAGGATGCAGCCCTCTGCTGCGTCCTTGTGAAAAACTGAGAGCGGTGGAGATACCAAAGGCTTACAGCCCGGTGCGATTTTTAAATGTACTTTTCCAGCTATTTTAAAAAACTTTGTAGATACAACTTATAGAAAGGTGAGCTCTATAGTCCGGAAATACGGCACATTTTTTAAAAACAAAAGACACAGGAAAACCTTAAGAACATAAATCAAAATTTTACCATTTTACCATGAAAGTTACCAACACTAAATGACAGACCAACAACTATTAAACAAAAACAAAGTTTAATAGTTTTAACTTTGTTTTGTTAAAAAAAAAAAATTACAAAAAAACTGCTTTTTCCCAGTTAGGCCTGTGAATTGTTTACGCTACAATTCACAGGCCTAACTGAACAGAAATGGTGAATGATGGAGTAACTGAACATTTCAAATGCAGTCTATTCACAGCATGTCACTTTGCTGCTATTCTGTCCTAGGGGATAAAATCCAGTCAGGATTAAATTCAAATCTTTTTAGTTTATGCTTGTGCAGTACAGTCATTATTTTCAATTCTAAATATATATATCTAAATATATAATAAAACAGTCAATTTCTGTCAATGATAAATTGCCAAAATTTATCATTTGGTCAAAACTTTTTAATCAAAGGAAACCTAGCCAGTATCATAGTAGAGCTCACTTTGCAGGAACTGCCGTCACATGGTCCTCAGCAAGCATATGACAACGGTAGAAAGGAAGCCATTTTCTCATGGCTGGCTAGGGTTAAGAGAATGTGAAGGAGTCTAAGGGAAAAATAACAAAGCACTCACTCAGGACTGCTTCTTGAGAAAGAAAAATAAAGTTTAAACTTCTTTTAAGCAAACTTCAAGTTGCTCTTAAAGATGTATAAAGGACAGTTCACATTGATTGGCAGCCTATGGTGGTGGTCCATTTACCTAAAAAGAGGAACAACAGGATATGTTCCAACTAATGGGGTCACTCTCCTAAGCCTTCCTGGTAAGGTCTGTTCAGGGGTTCTGAGGAGGAAGATCCGCTGGATAACTCGGCCTCAGATTCAGGAGGATCAGTTTGGTTTTTGTGCTGGTTGTGGAACACTGCAGCAGCTCTACACCCTCAGCAGGGTCAGGGGGATGCATAGGAGTTCGCTCAAGCTTTATATGCTTTTGTGGACTTGGAAAAGGTGTTAGACAACTGCAGCAGCTCTACATCCTCCCGTAATACAGATGAAAAATTGTAATGTTGGTTGCAAATCAGACTGTTCTTAATGTTTGTGGACAGAATTTCCAGTCACAGGCAAGATGTTGAGGGGATCCATTTTGGTGTCCTCTTCTATATGCAGATAATGTAATTCTTTCGGTTTCATCAGACCGTGATCTCCAGCTTTCACAGAAGCCTTTCGGCAAAAGCTCTTGATTTACCGGTCAATCTAGGTTCCTACCTTCATCTATGATCATGAGCTTTGGGTAGTGACTGGCTACAAGCGGCTGAAATGAGATTCCTCTGCAGGGTGTCTTGGGTTCTCCTTTAGAGATAGGGTGAAAAGCTCAGTCATTCAGGAAAGGCTCAGAGTAGAGCCACTGCTCCTTCACGTTAAGAGGGTCCAGTTGACTTGACTCAGGCATCTAGTTAGGATGCTTCCTGATAACGTGCTTCCCGGCACGTCCCATCGGGAGAAGACCGAAAGGAAAGACCCAGAACATGCTTGGTGGACGATGTCTCTCTGCTTGCCTGGGAATGCCTTGGGGTTCCTCCAAAGGAGCTGGGAGAGGGAAATCTTTGCCTCTTTACTTGGGCTGCTACCTCAGTGACCCTGGATAAGTGGAAGAAATTGGATGGTTGATAAATTGGATGGTTGATAAAAATCTAATGTTTTGGGTCAGTTTGATCAGAAGTCATTTATGTATCTAGTAATTATGCTGTGTTTATATGCCATAGTCTATAGAGTAAAGTAGCATAAATAATCTGTATGATCTCATCCCATAATACAACAGAAAATTGTAAACTTCATCAGTTAGTTTAGGCAAAACGGTTATTCAGATGTGGAGGTAAATTAGACTTCAAAGAGACTTAATCAGATAGTTACTATATGAAAAAGAAAATTTCATCTTAAATATTCTTTAGACATGTTTCCAAATGTTTTTTGCATTTTGCTTTCTAGAATAACAGAAAACATAATTTTCTAAAAAAATTACCTTAGATTTAAATTTATTCATAGTGCTTATAAATAGTTATTTTTGTTTCTTATTTGGTATAACTTCAGTAAGTCTTCTCTTCTCATTCCTCCACACTATCATTTTACTGTTGCTAGGATACTGGAAAACCCCTCCAGGTACCTGTAATGCAGCATGAGTCAGAGCAAATGGACTGTATAGCAGAAAATATCCAACTTCTAATGGAGCTGCTGTTTAGTGTGAGCTCCATGATGAAACTCCTGAAGCAGCTGAGATGTTATCACATATCGCTGTGTGTTTTTATTTGATCCTTTAGCCTCTGAATGTTTGAGTCATTAGATTTTGAAATCTAATCCCTGCTCCAGGTGAGGATGTCTCTTCAGTGACATCACTCTTCGTTCATGGGTGTGTTCATGTGTTTGCGTGTGTGTGCGTGCTTCTCTCCACAGTCGGAATCTCCTGTCCAGTTTGCCCCCATCCGTGTTCCAGCTCCCCCTATTGCGAGTGCTCATCGTCAGCAACAACAAGCTGCCTTCACTGCCCTCCTCCATCTACTCGCTCACACACCTTCGGCAGCTGGTACGACACACACACACACGCACACATTTGATCCCTCAGAATCTCTGCCCCCGAATCCTATTGCTCGAGTAAATACGTGTGTGCAGATTATATGATCTGGTGGGCTGTTATTCTTGACTTCAGTGGCTTAATAAAGCCCAGTTGTAACTCAGTAAATTAGAATATCATTAAGTTGATTTATGTCTGCAATTAAATGGAACAGTCAAACTTGTGTAGATTCCTACATAGAGATGTAAAATCCAAGGTTCTGTCTCTCAGAAAACTTAAATTAAGACAAAGTGTTTTATTCCAGAGCTGGTCGTCTATTGAACAGTGTGTTCATCTTCTGTAAAGCATCTACACTCAGTGCTGCATTGGGTTTCCTTTTGCTTGAATTACTGCATTAATGCAGTACAGTATGACTGAGATCTGCTTCTGGTAAGCCCAGTGGTGGAGGCGGTAGGGCTGTAGTGATACAATAATCTGACGATACTATACACGATAATCTGCTCACGATACAATATATATTGCGATATTCAACAAATGATACAATTCAGTACACTTTTGTGATTTTCTGAAAGATTTTAGAGGGACAGAGTGATTTTGGTGACATTTTGTGACTGTTATAGAGTTGAATTGAATTAATTTAACTGAAAACTGATTAAAAGCACCAATCACACAATACCTGGCTCTGGTTGGACATGGACACAGACTTAAAGTCAACAGCTGGACAAAATGAATCAAAGAAGTGGTGAGAAAACATGTTCCTTTTAATTGAAATAGTACAAACTGTAGCTTACATGCATTTGTAAAATAAATAAAGTGCACCAAGTACCCTGCTCTGAATAGTTGGGTACCTTTTTAACCTTGACACTTGACATCTGAAGGAATCACTCTAAGATGACCTAATCACTCTCCCGGCGAAGCAAGTGAGTGAGCAAGGTGACAGTTGGATGTTACGATACTTGCGGATGAATATTGATTTTTTTTCTTGGAAAGAAAATATCGATATATATCGCAAAATCGATATTATTACACAGCCCTAGGAGGCGCTAGGGTGGTCCACCACCAGCCCACTGTGTTTTTGTGTTAAGAGATGTTAAAATTTCTGGTCAACTCTTAACCACAATTTGAAAATATGACTAAGTAATTATTTGTTATTAGAAGACATTATTAACAATACTTAAACCCCAACTATAGAGTCCTAATAAAGGTAAACATGGCAAAAAAAATGTTTAAATTGTAAATTTTTTTGCACTTCAGCTAAACCCTAACTAGGAAAGCTGCCATTGGATCTTTTGGATCCACAATTAGTTGAACATGTTGGCCTAAATATGTTGTAATTTTTTGATTAACTAAAAAATTGCTGTTTATGATAACTTCAAAAATGTTGTCCTTCGTTATATTTTTCACCCATGGAGGTCTCCATTTCTTCATGATTACTGAGTTGACACGGTTTGGTTCATTCTGTACTGCAATCTACAGAGTAAACAAGGGCTGTTGTAAACGAATATTTTAGTAATCGAGTAATCTATCGATTATTCTTACGATTAATCGAGTAATCAGATTTACAAAAAAAGATATAAAAAAATATTGGTAAATCTAACATAACAGCAGTGTTACTAGTGGATATTAACATCAGTCCAATTTTTCGTATTTGAGCATCCTTAACAATAACTTTTCTGTAGTTTGGAAAATTAACCTGTAACAATAATAGCTCACTTTCTAAGTTAACCTGAAGAAAAATTATACAAAAATCTGAAATTATTTTTAATTTAATAATAAAGAGGCAGGCTCAAAGATACGCCAGTAAAAAATGTCTATACTCCAGCTTTTCATTTATGTATTTATCTTCGGTCAATTTAATAGATGAACTCTCACCTTGCCTAAATATTTATAGTTTTTGTGTCCATGTTAGCGATGGGATTTGACACCTTCGTTTGTCACACACAGAAACACCGTCATGTTTCTGTGTGTACCGTCATGATGCGCTCTGCCACCCATTTGTTAAGACCGGCATGATATGAAATAAATTTTCCGGTTCGTCCGTAAAGCTGCACTTACGAAGAACACTGCAGCCGTCCGCAGTGTTCAGTTTATATGCTCACCTGTATAAATACACCTGCAGTGCTCTTCCCTGCCGTTCACTCTGAACAACGGCCACCAGGAAGCAGCTTCTGGAGGAGAAAAGCCGCTTTATCATATTTATCATATTGCATTTGACTGGTGTAAATTTAGACAATGCCTCACTGTGTTGCTGTTGACTGTAATTTAAAAAAATAAACGACGCGAGTCTGCATTGATTCCCACACACACACACACACACACACACACAAAAGAGGAGTCCAGTGGAAGAGCCAAACATAACTTCTGAAGGACTCACATTTGTGCTCTCAACATTTCTTTCCAGAAAACTGAGTCATTTGTATGAGCAAAATCGATGAAGGATATAACAGGTGGTTGTTAACCCAGCAAGCTAAAAACAAATGCTGTGCAGACAGTTTTATCCACAAAGTGCCTAAACCCTGGTACTGGCTAGCAAGAGAAAAACACTGGGAGAAACATCAGACAGGCAGCGCTGGAAGCTCCTTTAAACAAAAACGAAGCTATTACCACTGCCACCGATACCGAATGTTAAATCACGGACCCAACACTGGACCAAAGACTACAGCCCTAAATGGTGTTACTGGACTGGAATCCGGACCTGAAACGGAGCATGTCAACTATTTACCGGATCACACAGTCCGACCAGAGGTACATGTCATTATGAAACTGAAGGCAGCAGCAGCACAAACACCAGCTTCTCCGGCCAACTTTTTCTTCTTCCTCCTTTTTTCCTCCTCATCTTCATTGCCTCTTGTGTTTTCTCCATTCCCATCAATTTCAATGCGCTGTGGTTCAAATTGAAAAAGCTTAATGACATTGCTCATTCCTGGAGGGAGCTAGTGCAATCGGACCTAACGTACATCATTTATTCAGAATGCATTACAGGGCCAACAACATGATGACATCCATGTGACTGTATTTTATTTAAATTTTTAAAAACTAAACATTACATTATTTTTACTGCATTGTTTTTACATCTAAAACTATTTTTTCTCAAATAAAGTCTATTGTTATAACTAATTGTGGATCCCTATAAAACAAGCTAATGATGGTCACATTTAAAAGTTAAGTGCATTGAAAGAAATACCTGAAATGGACAATGATGAGTAAGAATGTTTGCATGCTAAACAAAATAGTCTTAGGTTTGAAAATTCAAATATTTATGGTATTAAATCCTACAGTTTTTCCTCAAAATTATCCATTTGGAAGGTGCTATTGCAGAGGGCTCATTTTGGACACTATTTTGAGTGAAAGCTGGTGTGTGTGATCGGTGCCGAGATGCAGATATTTAGAGGTGCACAACCTGGCACTGTGATAGCATGCCAGTGTACAGACAGTGCCTCAGATATAAACCTTCTAGGCTTTTTATACAGTGGGGGAAGCCCTGGGATAAAATTATAAAATATTATGATGATTATGATATAATTTGCAATATTTGGCTATTTTCTTCTTCTGTATTGTATTCAGGATGTCAGCTGTAATGAGCTGCAGAGTTTACCAGCAGAACTTGGTCAACTGGAGACTCTGAGGGACTTGAACTTGAGGAGGAACCAGCTCACCACTTTGCCTGAAGGTACACACACACGCACACACACATACTCCAAATAGTGGACACTTTTAGTTTTGCTTGAATATACGAGTGGCTGTAGAAGGTGATAAAAGTTTGCATCTGATCCACCTGCATCCTGTTTATAGTCTTGAGTTCCTGTCTTAGAGGGAAGACAGGAAATGAGGAGTGATGGCCTGTTTCTTAGACAGGAACCTTTCTCCACAACTTGAATTGCAAGACGGTGCCCTTTTTTTTTCATTTTAATTGCTTGCAAATGATGGACTTATTGATCCAGTTCAAGCTTAATGGAGGGCTGATGGATCATGTGTAATTAAAACCTTGCAGAGATGAAAAGGAAATAGATTTTTACAGTGAACTGAAACAACTTGCATAATGTGGCCACTGTAGTGGCCACATGTAGTGACTGAACTGATTCAAGTGGGACAACTAATTCACTGAGTTTTCTCAGGTTTTAGATATAGTGCCAAGGCAGAACCTGATAGTAGCCTTGCATTTCAATTAATGAAGGAGATAGACGTATAAAGATCCTGAAACCACGCTGCCTGTCGTCTGACTTTTTCCTTCTCTGAATCTCATCCAGAAATATCTGAACTTCCACTCGTTCGACTTGATGTGTCCTGCAACCGAATTTCCCACGTTCCTCTGTGTTTCCGTCACCTCCGACATCTGCAAACCATCTCACTGGATAGCAATCCTTTGCAAATGCCACCGGCACAAATCTGCTCCAAAGGCAAATATCACATCTTCAAGTACCTGAACATGGAGGCTTGTAAGAGCCACGAGGAGGAGCTGGAGAAGCACCTCAACATGAGGCCGACTGGATTTAAAAGCAGGTGAGGACTACCAAACATATATATTCATGTATATTCTTACAGTATAAGTACAGTGCATTGGCTAGGTAGTCACACCTCTAGGACCTTTCCACATTATACATAATACATAATGTCATTGTTTTTTTCACATCTAGAAACAGACATTTTTGTACATTTCGCTTTGCAACATGGCTCAGGCTCGGCCAGCCTGAGCTTTTCGGTCTGGCTCGGCCAGCCAGACCAAAAACTGTTAACATTAGTTAATAATCGGGGATGCTGGCTGATGTTTTTAGGAAGACTAAACCATTCCATAGCATGTTTAGGGTCACTACCCCAGTCTCAGGTTTTCTGCGTCTTCTGACAGTTTTTCTCCAAGATGCACCTGGATCTATAGCTCCATCTGTCTTCTCATCAAATCTTTCCTTGTAGAAGAAAAGCATGCCCAGTACATAATACTGCCATGACCAAGTTTCACAATGTGGATGATGCGTTCATATTGACAGTGAGGTTACTATCATGGGTTTGATTCCTGGCCCTGGGCCATTTCCTGCATGTCTTCCTCTTCTTCTATCTACCTTTCTGCCAAACTGAATAAAGACAACTAGTTGCAGAAAATCTTTTAAAAAGAATGTTGAAACATGTGGTTGTGAGAGAAAATATAAAAAAAGTAATAGAACTATGTAGGGCTGGACAATAAATCAACAACAGTATATATCTCGATGATCAATATCAATAGATAATATATATGGTAGAATATTCAGAATCTGAATTCCTTTTGTTGTCATTGTACAAGAAAGAAAGCACAACAAAAAATAGCAACTCTTGAAAGCAAGTCAAATAAATAAAATAATAAATCTCAATAAACAGAAAAATATAGTAGAAATATGCAACTGGGAAAAACAAATAAATAATTAAACAAATAATCAAGTTTTAGATTAATTAGCTGTGTAAAGGGCAACAACAGCTCTTGGGTAGAAACTGTTTTGTAGTCCATCTGTTTTTGACTTTATTACCCTGAAACGCCTTCCTGAGGTCAGGAGTTTGAAGAGGTGGTGGCCGGGTTGTGGTTCTCTCCGGAGACATCAAGTCCTGTAGATCTCCTCTAGAGATGGAAGAGGGCAGCCAATCAGTCTCTGGGCAGTTTATGACAATCTGGAGCTGCTTCCTCTCTGTCACAGTGCAGCTGGAGAATCACAGCAAGATGCCACAGCTCAAAATCAACTCCACAGAGCAGCAATAGAAGGATACCAAGAGCTCAGTTCTCTGCTGTGCCTTCTTCAGGATAGAAGTGGAGTTAATGTTCCAAGTCAGGTCTTTACTGACAAAGCTGCCTAGGAAACTGAAATTTGGCACCATCTCCACCCTCTGTTCCTAAAGTCAACCGTCAGTTTCTTCAACTTGAAGGTGCTCAAATGGAGGTTGTTGTTGGTGTACCAGACAGTCATCCCACCTCCATTCTGTATGCAGTCTCATCTCCTCCAGAGATGAGCTCCACCACCGTGGTATCATCAGCAGTGATGATACCACAGAGGTAATGATGGTATTGTTCAGGTGGGTGGGCTATAGTCATGGATGTAGAGGGTTTAGAGTACAGGGCTTAACACACATCCTCGTGGAGAGCCTGTGCTGGTGCAGGGGGCTTAATACTCTCACCCTCTGGGAGTAATTTGCCAGGAAGTTCATAATCCAGCAGCAAATGTTGTGGGGTAGACCCAGATTCCCCATTTTTCTCACCTCTCTGCTCCGAATGATGATGATAAAAGCCGAGCTGAAGTCCAGGAAGAGCAAATTTGCGTAACTCATTTGCTGTTCCACGTGTGTCAATGTGGTGTGCAGAGCAGTAGCGATAGCATCCTCTGTATACCTGTTGGTTATGTATGCAAACTGGTGGGGATTGAGTGTGGTTTCGCAAAGCACTTCATGATTATGGGGGTGAGTGCCACTGCCCAATAGTCATTGAGACTGTTAATGTTGTTCTTTTTTGACAGAGGGATGATGGTGATGGACTTTAAGCAAGTTGGGATGGAGCACTGGGTGAGGGACTGATTAAAGATGCTGGTAACAACCCCACCAGCTGATCTGCACAGTCCCTCATCACTCTCCCTTTCACACTGTCAGGTCCAGTAGCTTTCTGGAGGTTCACTGTCCTCTGAGTCCTCCACACTTCCTGTACAGTGATGGTCTGGCAGTGGAGGGATGCTGGCTGCAGTAGGGGCTCTGCTGGTGAATCAGCCTCAAAATGGGTGAAGAAATGATTGAGCTCCTCTGCCAGTGAAGCATCCCCAGAGATTTCGACAGTGTTGCTGGATCTGAAGTTGTTGATGTAGTTCTTATTTAAAAATCAAACTGTCCAGTCTCCTCTCCATCTTTTCATCCTGGTTCAGCTCTAAGACTTGAAAGCAGAGAAGATGGACTGAAACCAAAAACTCTTCTCTCCAGTTAGTTTTGGCAACACATGCTAAAGCTGCAGATGCTGCACACATGTTTTCAATGGATACAGAGCTTGACATAACTGCTCTACCTTTGCAAGAAGCCAGCTGCCTCCCGTGCTTCCAGCCTGGAGTCATTGCCAGTAGCTACTCAGACAGCTAACCTCAAGAATTTCTCAGCCTAATAAACAGATCAATTGCTTTCCCTGCTTTCTTCTAACAAAGTGGTAAACAGTTCAGACTAATGGCAGTGAATTAAAAATCTGGCAAGAAATGTTGTCGGGTTTAACATCATGAGCCAAAGAAATAAGATATGGAATGTTTGTAATGTAATGTGAAATAAAATAATTAAGTTGATAAGATGGTGACATAGTGACAGATATTGAAAGAGTTCAAAAAGAATCAACAGAAGTAGAGTTGATCCAATCCAAGGTTAGATGAAACCTTCTAGCTGTTTCCTGAACATTTCATGGAGCAGAAACTATAAGTGTTGATGGAGCCAAGGAAAAGGAAGTCTGACTCTGATATGGAGAATGTGATATAGTATTCCACTATACACATCTTAGTCTTGTTATGTTGCATGCTTTTAATTGACCTTAATTGACCTTGATGTGTCATCTACATTTTCTCTTGCAGTCTGTCAGACCAGGAACTGTTCACAGGTCAGTTTGGCGGCCTGGACTCTGGTTTCAATAGCGTGGACAGTGGTAGCAAACGATGGTCTGGCAATGAGGTACGACTATTATTTATACATCATGTCTGAGCTACTGTAAGCTTCTGTATATCATAAAATTACACAAAGTTTGACAGTATCAATTTATAGATGCTTTAATTAGACAGTCATATAAAGTGAAAGATAAAAAAGAACAATTATAAGATGTATGATACCCAAGGTCCTTCTTTAAGCTACAGTTTTCAAGCTTCTGAGCTTCCATCTCATAGAACACCTGTCCCTGCAACTCTCACACTCGGCTCCTTCAGACTAGCCTACAGCAGTTGGCAAACACCTGGTGGAACTGTGCATCTAGTGAGCTCATTGCATTACCAGCATTACAATTCTTAGTGTAATGCTGGCAAAAATGTTTAAGGGTTAACAGAGGAGCCATGTTGTGATGACCTCCTGGTGGCGGAGTTTCAGAAAGAGCTGGGGTTGTTAAAGAGACAGAGGCCCAATTTCAAGGCATTAAAAGAATTGCCTTGAAATTGGCCATTTTCAAGGCAAATCTGATTTCAAAGAAAGTCAGATTTCTTTGAAGTCATATTTGATACATGTATGATTTTTTAGAAAAACTGAATGTAACATAGCTACTTGAATGCGCTATAAAATGGCACTAAAGTAATGTTACTTTAACCTTAAGGGTTGCTTTACCAGCTTCTCACCATTAAGGTCTGGCGCTGTGCTGAAGTAATTTTAAACTATCCAAGAACTAGATCATGTTTCGATTTATGATTTGCTACCATGACAACACCACTCCAAAATCCAGTTGTTCCTAAGCTGAAACAGTGATTCTGTGACATGTCTCTGTTTCTTATGTTCTCAGTCAACAGATGACTTCTCCGAGCGTTCTCTTCAGATGGCGGAGGTCAACCAGAAGCAGAGACACCTTGAGGAGCAGTATGAAGAAGATGATGAGTCCCTGGAGGCCAACGATGGTGGGAAATCCTGGAACCTAAAGTGCTTGTTAAGCTGACTAAAGATGTGGTTTAGAAATATATTCATTTTATTTGCTCTTGTTCATATTTATTTGCATTATGAAAAAATAGCTGTGGGAGGACCAATCATTTCTCAAAATCTGTCTTGATGACATTAGGTAAAAGCACAAATGGATATGGATAAAGATAGACAATTGTATGTTTCACATTTTCAGCTGGGTATGAAAAGGCCCATCGCTGAAATCAAATGGAAAACAAGTTCAATAAGAGAGCAAAGTTTTAGACTTTGTTTTTCTTCCTCCCAGTGAATGGAGCGGCTGAGCAGGTCAGCTTCATCAGCAGCAGTGTTACGGAGGAGATCCGGATAGATCCACCTACCTCTCCCCTTGTTACCTTTCCTTCGGTACTGTCAGACACACACTGATCAGTTATTGCTGTTTTGCATGTTGGCTCTGGCAAAGAGTGGAAAAAAATAAAATTATGGAAAAATATTTGTATTTTCCTACCTTTGTCCCCTATCCCACTGTCTAAATTTGTTGTTCTTCCTTGTTATCTTCCTTTAAATCCTTTCTTGGCTCCACCCTTTTTCATGTCTCTCCTTTTTCCCTCGAATTCTTCCTTCCTTGTACTCCTATTTCTCTACCTGCTTTTGTATTTACTCTGTCTCCTCTGTCCATCCCATCTTTGGAAACTTTTCTGTCATCATGTTTGATTAGCAGAGAGTCTCTTGTTTTATAGGAGCAGGATTCATCTTCTCCATCCCAAAACCAAGACACAACATGCAGGTGAGTTTTTCAAAAACATTTCCAAATCTCTCCTAGTCCTTAGCAGTGTAGTGTTTTATATTTTAATGCTCAGCAGTATCCAACATCAGCCAACATCAGCCAACTTGCCCAAATATCACAGATTTCATTTTACTGGCTGCAAACTGGATGTTCATGATGAAGTCTACTGGTGACAAGTTCCTTCCCCCGTTCACCGTTTTTCTTAGGCTCACTCAGTGGCTTTAGATAGCGGGGAAGAATCAGTTGATGATATGCCCTCTCTGGGCTTTCTTAGCTTCATGTAGGTTAATTCTTTCCGATTCTGTCTTTGCCTTTCTGGGATTTCTGGAACAGTAAGATTTAAATAAAAGTTAATATTTCACACTGAGGCCTAAAGCAGTCCTACATTGTAATCCAGTGTTTTAAGCATAACTGTCAATTTGCTTACTGGGTCAAAGGTTCCTGAATTAGCTTTTACTGAGACACTGTCTGCTATTCTGCAGTGTATAACATTTACCATTCCCACATTTCAACCTCGGCTGCTAACAGAGCCCAGTGTCAGCAATATTGACTTACCCTGAACAGACTGCAGATGGTGAGGCATGCAGAAACACAGAGGCACTGAGCAGAATTGTGTAGTCTGTTTCTAGTTTGTGGTTTTGGAGAAGATCTAAATATTTCTGTCCAGCCTTCCTGCTGTCAGGGGTTACTTGTCATTTTTAGGAGGCTGTATGAAGGAGCAGTCACTGTAAAGTTGGACTTTGCAACGTATGGAGTTGACATTTTGAACCATCTGTAATTGTAAGCAGCAGTCTCTGTATGCATCCCCAAAGGAAAAGTAGGTCTTTACTTTATGTAGTCATTTCCAGAGACAGTAGGCTCCCAGAACAGGGAGGTTGACGACTCATTTGCTGTGATACATTCAGCTTTCTTGTAACCACAGTGAACTGCAGACATATCAGAACATGCTGTAGAAAACAAACTACATGATCACTGCTCAGCTGATCAAACTGAAAACTGGTTGATTACGCTGTTCGTCTTTACAGAAGACCTCAGTATTTCTGTGTCTGCTTTTACAAAACTGGGTAGCAAAATGGCTGTGAAGGGTTTGGTTGGTTTGACTCTGCATGGAGTCAAACCAACCAAACCCTTTGAGCAACCTGTTCCACTTCTTACCTCTGGTGGTGCTGTACCAAGAACCACTGAAAGGAAACAACATGAAAACCTCTGAAGAAGACACTGAACGTAACTTCTTTCTTCATCAAAAATAAACAAAAATGAAGTGGAGTCAGATTTTAGCAGTTATAGGATTTCTCTTTCGTCTTTGGCAAAAAAAACCCACAAACTGTTTCTCCTGCTGATGCTAGACTTGTTTATTTTGGTTGCATTTACCCAGAATGCTCTGTGCTATAGTCCTGTTCCTGCTTTTGGAATGGTCTCCAGGCCACATTTGAACCACCACACCTGACTGCTTCAACAATTAACCCTGAACTAATTATAAATCTATTCCACTGAGATAACTGTGGAGTCTTTAGGGTGCTAAACAGTAGGCTCATTGGTTTTGTTGCCAGGAGAGGTGTAGGTTTCTGTTGGCTAACAGAGACATAAAGTGGTTGTAATTCTATTCTGTTTTAATATCCTAATTTGCCTTTAGCTCTATCTGTATCAAATCTCTTCCTTCAGCTGTATTGATGCTGAGTCTCCCCAAAAACCTGCTGGCACCTCATGAATATGTGACACACAACCAGGCTTTTAATGTTCTAAAAGTTTATGAATTGGCTGCAGAGCTTACAACAGTCAGACTGGGTCACCAGGGAGGGCAAGCCATGTATCCTGCAGCCTGAGCTAACGGATGTTCCACATTTTGGCCTCCAACACTTCCTCTGGGACTTCTAAAAATAGGATACTGGAGTCTAGAACAGGGTTCCAAGCATTTCTGAGCTGTCTCTGACTGTGAAACAAGACTGGAGTTTTTGAAGGGTAAACGGCAAGATGGCTGGTCTCCGAGATCATCACAACTAATAAAACGCTAAAGCTGAATCTATCAGGAGTTTGTGAGGAGAACAGACGGAGATGTGAGCTCTAAGTTGTTATAGTGACGTTAATGTCCAACATTCAGGTACACCAAAAAACTCATTGATGTCTGGTTTCATTCATGATGGTTTAAGGAAAACTATTCACTCTCCTCAAATGTTTTTAAAAATATTTTATTGCATAACTACTGACCTTAATGTATTTCATTGGGATTTTATATGTTAGACCAGCACAAAGTAGACAAACTTTTGATATTTCTGTAATTTGATGGGGTGTGCATAAAACTGACGTGACGCTGTCGTAAACATGACATAACACCTGCCATGAAGATGATGGAATTTTCATGAATGTTTAGAACTGTTGTAATGAAGTGTCATTCTGTAAATAATTACACTTTATTGCAAGTTTTAATGCAACTTTGCATTAGGTGTCATTATTTTCGTAATAATGCAAAGTTGACACTTTTAATGCACTTTTAAGGCAACATGTTACCAATATTTCTTACAAAAAAGAATGTGAAGTTCGATGTGGATTTGTATTGAGTTCTTTTTACTATGATTGTCCTAAATAAAGTCAACATTTTTTACAGAGGCCACATTATTAGTAAACAATCTATGTGTTTGTAATTAAACCTGAGTATGAATGTAGCTGTTGCTTTTCTGGCCTCAGAGGTTTGTTAGACAACAAACGGCATCATGCTGTGGGGATTCTTTTCTGCAGTAAGGACTGAGGAACCGCTCCGATTTGATGATGGTTGGAGCTAAATTAGGACACTCTCGGAGGAAAACCTGTTGGGGGCTGTAGAAGACCTGAGAGTGGGGGTTCACTTTCCAGCAGGACAACCTCCCCAAACTAGCAGCCAGAGATATAGTGGAATGGTTTAGATTAAAGCATATCTATGTGTTAGAAAGGCATAGTCAAAGTATAAACAAAAATTTAACTGGAAATTGGCTAAGAGTTAAAAACCAATTTTTTGACATGTTTCATGGTGGGATGCTGTGGGGGACAAGGGTTAAACGCATCCCACATAATATGGAGGTCTTAGTCCTCAATGCGGATCTTGTAGGTTCAAGTCCTAGCCTGATGACCGCATGTCTTTCTCTCATTACCAACTTTCCTGTCAATTCACTATCAAATAAAGACCACTATAGACAATAAAACCTCGAAAAAAAGCATAACTTTCCTTTGACTATTCAATTATACACCTCTTTGTGTATGAGTCATAAAACATCAATTAAAATATACAGAAGTAACAGAATGAGGAAAAGCTCCAGGGTTTTGAAAACTTTCACCAGGTGCTGTATGTATCAACTGGTTATTACACAACAGGAATAGTAACTTCTGTTATTTTTAAATGTAATCTACATCAATAAACTGAAAAGAGCTGCAGTTAAATGGACTGATTAATTTTAAAAGCAGGTGGGAATGATAGCTGATGTTTGAAAGTTCTAAAATTTCAACCTCAGAAATGTTTTGATTAAACAGGAAACTGTGAGTGCTCTGACTGCCGTTATTCTGTTAGTTAACCTGTGTTAAACCAACGCCTTGTCTCTCAGGTCGAGTCCCTCAACGGAAGGGAACTGCTCCTCCTTGTCCCCTGAGCCCCCCTCCAGCCCCACCCTGGAGGAGAGGAGGAGGCCTGGAACCCTATTTATCTGGCAGGAGCGGGAGCGGCTCCAGCAGCAGAGGGAGAAGGCCAGGTAATTACCTTGTGCTTCATTAATAACGGAGAAAACTGGACTCAGAAATTTTTGAGGGGTTTCTGTTGTCAACATGAGTTTTGCATTGAGGAAAAGTTCTAGCAATGTTCTAACAAAAAAGAAATGAGGCCAGTGAATGTGAACATGTCCCATCCATATTGGTGTTTCCTTCAGTCAGTAGTGCAGTTGTAGCTGCACTCTTTGTCTCTCCCGCTCTTATTCATCTCAGCACGCTCAATTCCAATCTCTATATTTTGCAGTTTGCTGAAGTCATCCGCTAAACCCGGAAGTCATGTGGCCTCTGCACCACAGACAGGAAGCAGCTCATGGTGGGTTGGTTCTGAGCAGAGCAGAAGCAGTGACCCACATATTTTAGTTCTTCTCCTTATACTCCACTCCCCTCCACTCATGTAGTTCCTCAGCTCTTGTCAAAATAAGACAGTAGAAAGCATGAAGGTGTGGGAAAAGCTTTTCCACTGTGAATTAATCACGGTGTATGTCTCCCTCTAGTGGTGGCTCACCAGAAAATGGAAGTGCCCACTCCGGCTTGCGTCAGCGATGTGCAGTGAGTCCCATCCCGCTATTAAAGAGAGTAGAAGGTCGCTCTGCTGCTACTGAAGTGTTTGTTTGTTTCAGAGTGCTGACCAGATGAGCACCGGGTCTCCATCAGTTCTTCTCCATCGCTCCAGCAGCAGAACAGGTACAGCTGACTCACCTGAACCACCTCAACATGAACCTGAGCAGTGCTCACAATACAAATATTTCAGCTGGAGTAATCAGAGCGTTTTATAACCTCAGTGGGAACAGGACCAACACATGAGAGGTATTTACTTTAGCTCCACCCACTGATCTAAGAAATTCACATTGCCTCATATTCACCTCAGCATTCTGAGGACCTTGTAGGTCTCTATACGACGTTTTAACAATATTTTTCTTCATCTCCACATAAAACAAGAAATAGTGTCAGATGTTTTATGAAACCATAAGCATATAAGTTTATTATTAGACATTAATAACTAAATCTTATGCCATTTGCAACCTGGCCTTTTATTAACTTAGAGGTAGTAAAACTCTCCTAATCTCTTAGTTTTCATAAACTGTATGTTAAAGCTGGGTCATTGATAAATCTGCTCTTATTAAAGCTGCAGTACAGAACTTTAATAAAGAAAATGTTTTTTTTACATGTTAAAACTGTCACCATTTCGTGACAGTATCTGTCTCATAAGACAGATAATCTGTTAAAATCTCCATTTCCTGCTGGAGCTGGTATTGCCATTTGAAGAAATTCACCACTCCCAACCAAACACTACCAATCAGAGCTGGCTGCTAAATGTGCTAATGGTGGAGAAACATTAGCACATTATGTCATTTTTTTTTTCGTCATAATGCGATCTGTATCTGATTTTTTCATGACAGTCTGAACAACATAGGTCGGATTCTTTCAGGCCACTTGAGTATTTGATACGAATCTGATTCATATGTGACCTAACGTCGAGGCCGCATTCATCCGATCTGAACGTCACTGATACTTGACAAATGGCATTGATA